CAAAAGTAGGCAGTCACCTTAAGCTTGGAAAACATCTAGACTCTCGAGAAATTAATGCTAACTAATATTCATTGAAATCACTATAAAGCTATGAAGTAATTGATAACAATAATAAGCAATAGCCCTCTGAAACTTTTATGTCACGAAAGTCTTGTGCAAGGAATTATGGGATACGCTCGGGGTAAACAAACAAAATGGCGGAGTGTCTTGTATAACGTTTTGGTTTTAGTAGTCTCTCGTACTCCATTTTTTCACGTTTTTGCTATTTTTTTATCAAATGGTAAATGTTAACTGTTACGTTCCTGGTTGCGTGTCCAATAACCGTTCGTATCAGTATTTAAAGTTTTACAAACTACCCAAAGACAAGGCAAGAAGACGAAGGTGGAAAAAGTTGACACGAAATACGCAAGAGAGAGATTCACAATGGACCTGTCTGTGTCGACTACACTTCGAAGGTGGCTGGAAGAAAGAATTTTATTCTGATCCTTCAATATTTCCTTGGAGTCCAGAATGGCCTGATGTTGTGACAAGTTACAACAACTACGTAACGGAACGTTTTTTGCTGGCCCAAGGTACAGACCATGGATATGCCAAAGCTCCAAAGCTGATGAAAGTTCCAGCAATCTTCAAGAAGTTTGTCCGTCATTCCAACACSTCTAAACGTGCCTTAAAAAGTGTAAGTATTTTGTAGGCACACAGTAAATTTTTTAATTTTGTTTGAGGCTTTCATGTAAATAAACTTTTGAATTTAACATACACCCGGCATTACRTTACATTTTCAGCTCGAGAAAAGTGAAGAAACGTCTACCCTCCCCAACACAGATCAGGAATCAGATCATACACATTGCCCAGATCTAGAAGAAACTCCGATTGCCTTATCCAAGAATGGCGAAGTTGACTTAAGAGATGTAACGTTTAAAGACACGTCCACAACGACGAAGGTGTGTCTATATATAATACAATATACATTCTTATATGAAAATTCAAAAACGTTAAAATTATTATACTCCCCTGCTAAATTATACTTAAAAACTTGTCTATTAAAAAACAATTCTTAAAACGTTCTGTATTTATCTTAGGCCTTGCCAAGGATTGTGTGCGCAGCTTCCTAGAGTACTCTTTAGCTTTTGGAAGGAAATTGGATATAACAGATGTAATGAATTATGTTTAATCTTAGCATAGAGTATGCGGTCACACTGTTCTAAAATATTAAAAATATCTTTAGCATCTAGTTAGAAAACATTGCATAACGTTAAGATCTGACGGACTTGCTTCATAAACAGACAGTGCGTAAGTAAATTTAGTAAGTACAAGTGACTTAAATAAGTGATCTAATTCTAGTGGTGTGTAACCCTCCTTCCCTAAATATGTAATAATATATTAACACCTATTTGCTTCCCAATTGCAATTGCTTTGTAAAACAATAATAATAATATGTTTTCGTATTCTTATTTTTTAGGTTGCATATTATCCTGATACCTACTTACTCACTAGGAATGAGTTGCAGTCCTTGCTGTCCTGTATTGAAGAAAAACTAGATAAAGGAAGTCCAGATGCTTCACAGCTACTAGCCCTTCTAAAGGTTGTCATCAAGTTATTAAGAAATGTCCAAGAGCAGTTAGATGCAGTGATGGAATTGCGGGAATGGGATAAGTTTCTACTCAGGCGCTTTGAGGGTTCTGATGAGGATATTAAGTTTTGGACAGGATTCCCAAGTTATGCCAGCCTTATCTACTTCTTCAATGGTTTCATACTCCCTAATGAGTCCCATATGAAGTACTGGGGTGCAAATAATACTGGTTTGAAAAGGGAATTCAAGGCAGGCACAGTTCGACAGCTTTCTGCTGTAGATGAATTATTTCTCACACTCATCAAGTTGAAGCGAGCTAGTGCAAATGAAGACCTGGCAGAAAGATTTAATATGTCAAGTAGACATGTTTCATCCATTGTCATAACATGGGTTAACCTTATGGCAGCTGCATTCCGGAAAACAGACACTTGGCTTAGTAGGAAAAAAGTAAGGAAATTGATGCCAAGTTGCTTCAAACCACTATATTCTGATGTAAGAATTATTGTGGACTGCACAGAAATGGAAATAGAACGTCCTTCTGATCTTGAGATTCAATGTGCAACATATTCATCATACAAAAGTAGAAAT